TTCTCTCTTTTATTTACTTCAGCGCAGCTCACAGTTTTTAACCAATTCCGTAGCTTTCGGTGTACTTCTAAATCTGCTACTGCCTCTAATGGCATGGGGGTGGTAGCACAACTAATATAATTGCATTACTAAATCAGAATACCATTAAGTCTTTATTACTTATTATTAATTCTGGCATTACTGGAACCTTAAAAAATAAATTCTCCAATAAAACACCATAAGAGCTAATTAAAATGACAGACAAGACCTTTATACATTATAAATATCTATATAGTTCCATCAATTATAGGGGGAACAAAAGAAATTGTAAAATACAATTTACAGTGTATACACAAGAAACGTAATTGAGCAAAAGTCAATAATAAACAAATGAATTAGGTTCACAGAAGAATAACAAATCTGGTTGTTAAACAGATGCAAGCAAAAATTCACATTTTTTGCTTTTACTGTGCCATTTATATTATTCTGAGAGATTGTTTGTTGGTAGAGTCTTATACATAGGAAAAAATAAGACGAAATTATTTAATATATCAAGGTGGAAATTTTCCTTCTAAAATGATAAAATAAAACGCATCTTTTTGGGCCTACTACTGCCTCTAGTGGCGTGGGGGTGGTAACACAACTAATCTAATTACATTGCTAAATCAGAATACCACAAAGTCTTTATTACTTATTAATTCTGGCATTACTGGCACCATAAAAGATAAATTATCTTATAAAACAACATGTTTTTTTCATTTTCTTAACAATGTAGAGCTAATTAAATGACAAACAATACTTTCATACATTATAAATAACATATCTCCATCAATTATGGGAGGAACAAAAGAAATAAGGAGACATGAAAAACAACATGATCAACTATAATAAAAATACCATTTGCAATGTATATGCAAGAAATTTAATTGAGCAAAAGTCAATAAACAAATGAATTAGGTACAGAAGAATAACAACCCAGGTTGTTACAACCAGGGTTGTTAAACAGATATAAGCAAAAATTCACATTTTTGTTTTTACAGTGTTATGTATATTATTGAGAGACTTTTTGTAGAGTCTTATATATAGAAAAAAATAAGATGAATCTATCAACGAGGAAATTTTCCTTTAACTCTAAAATGATAAATCATATTCATGAATCACATTATTACACGGCCCATCTGTGGCGACGATACAAAAAAAGTAGCCTGCAGAAACATTATGTGTCCACAATGATGGCATGAAGCTGCTACTCAAAGTGTCTAGATGGAGCAGTGCTAGCCATATGTTTGTACATAATGCTGTTCCCATATGTGCAGCTGAGCTCAGGAATCTTATGTATAAATGCATGTGTAGATTATCTGTGTCATGCAATAATATAATTGCAATTTTAGTAAATCCTGCTTTTAGTACTGTGAGATTCTCTTCAAGATTATGGAATCATTGGCTGACGCCAATGACACCGAGTCATTTATTTGTGACTCGGTGAATAATATCATGTCATGTTTATTTTTAGTTTTCGTTTATTTTGCTTGTTTTTACCTTTTTTCTATGGACCTTTTTAGTGTCTGGAATAAATATATGATTGATTGATTGATTGATTGATTGATTGATTGATTGATTGATTGATTGATTATCAACAATTTGTGAATAGAGTAAAACACTTGGCATGCTGTAGGTAAATGTTATCATTTAGTTTGGTTAAGAATAATTACTGCACCATCAATAAATGTCTAATAAATGTTCTTATTGCCAGAAGAACACAGTAACACCTTCATGAGCTCAGAGTTCAAACTGATAAATAAAGAGGATGGATGCTCCCTGCTAAA